AATCATTTTTATATAAAAATTTTATATAAAGATTATTTCCATAACGGATTATTTTTATTTTTTATTTTTTTCTTGCTCTTGTATGTTCTATAATCCAAAGAATTTGAAAACTTTTTTATAATAAACCATTTTTTTAAGGAATAATACTATGAATTTGATTCTACAGGCTTTGCTCTTTTAAATCGAGTCACAAGATATTTTTTTGTTATATTCTTCCGTTAATGAGAACTTTATTGCGATATTTGGCAAATTCATTAAATCTGACGCCCACTCCAACAGTTCATGTGAAGTAGTAGTTATCTGGCAATCAGATGGACTCTTACACGAGTAGCCATTTTTTTATTATCTATTCCGTCATGAATTCTTGCCATGCGCCGCCACAGTGGTCTAAATCAGTTGCGTAGCGCGAAAAAAATTTAAAAAAAAATCAATTTAATTTGAGTATTTTGAGCACTTTATATTGTTGTAAATATTCCAAAATATTAAAAACTATAAATTTTTGTCGATAACGTTAATTTATAATAGCGTATGTAGTAAGGTAATATTGTTTATGTTCCCGATTATATTCGCGACTACTCGAAAACAGGTGTTATAGCATCTCTTCAACACGTTGACCCAATGACCCATATTCCGGAGCAACAAGTTCATTCGACTCGGAGTACTCATCTTTGTGCGGACAAATGCGAGACAAGAGTCTAAGCGTCTATCCATGCCCTCATCATTTTCATTTCTTCTTTCTCTAATCAAATTCTGAATTAAACTTCTAAGGATTTGAGCATAACACTAAAAATAACTGAATATTGGTGTTATGTCCTACTCCACGATTCTTTTCTTTCGTGGAAGATTGATCATCGTCACTCGCGTATATCGAAATATAACTGGTTATCAACAGTTATATTGACAACACTAAACTGTTTACAGAAAAAGTCAAGGAGTAATCTAACCCTTCGTCTTTCACTACATATCACAATATCAACACAGATAGTTGGAGACGATAAAATTTCAGACCACGATCCGTTCAAGACAAAGAATCATAGTAGATTCTCCTTTTAAAAGACGAATAAATAAATGAATTAATTAATATAAATACATGAATCAATTCCTAATAGTATGTTACGTGACAATATTTCCTTAAGTAAGTCTTTTCCAAATTAATAACATAAAATTAGCAATTTATGACTTTATTATTTAAAGTCTAATCTTATTCCGCATTAACAGTAAAGCGTGCTCCTGTCGATAGGCAACCTGACTTACTGATCGTAGGTATCGGCAGCACTCTGTATATGTTGAAAAAATAGTTATGATTTTGAAAACAATTAATTGTTTAATATAAATTATTTATTTAAGTACACATGAATTGAATTAAAAAAATTTTTTTTAACATAGTTCTAATAAAATCAGGTTTGAAGGAATTAAATATTAAAAATATAATGTAATTATATAATACAATAAACAGAGCTAAACAGTATCTGCGCAACCAAATAAACACAAGATGATATATAGACTAGGAAAAACAATAAATTTCTGAACGACAAAATGAAGATTTTTTGGTGGAATATTGTTTGAATGACATATTATAAACATATTAAAAGTCCTAACCGCCCGCATACTTGGAAAAGTTTTCAACTTCAAAAAACTGGTCACAAAAATGTGATTTTTTTTACATAACAAGGATCTCGATTATTATTTCGAGATTAGAGTCACGTAATATTATTAGAAACCACAGGATAGAGTTACCGCAGAGAATCCATGGGGGCAAAATGAAAAAGGACCGCTGGACGGGAACGTGATAAGCACCTGTAATCAAAAAAGGATATGATCACTAATTATACGAAAGGGACATCGATGAAGAATGCAAGCGAGCGATAATAGGCATTGTAAAGCGCAAATAATATAGGCGTTGTAAAGGATTGACATTATTTTACCCACTCCAAAAAAACCCCCTGGATTTTATCTATTTAAAAAAACCCGAAATTTATAGGTTTTTTGGATTCACAGTTATATCAATTAAATCAATTTCTGGCTACATTTCTCTTAATTTCTAACTGCAGTTGTCTAAATATTTCTGATCTCATTGCCTGAATAATGAATATTAATTTAGACATTATCTGAATTCTAATTTTGGTATCTGAACATTTAGACACTTTTGCATGGCAAGTCGTTTTACTTTTTAATAGCATAAAAGAAATTTAGTCTAATGTTAAATTCTTAAAAAATAATTGTCTTAAAAAAAATTTCGATTTTTAATAATGAATTAAAATTATGTCGTAACATAATAATATTTCCATGAATTAAAATTATGTCGTGCAGTTCAAATGATTACAAGTATGATATATAATATATCTATGAAACGTATATATTGTATATACAAATTTATATTGAATTATTTAAGCATTAAAAGATCCAGCTTCAACTGTTA